AATAAAAATAGAGAAGAGGTGACCTGAGAGGCTGAGGATGGCATGAGGTCCAAATATCCTCACTTGTGTCATACCCCAGGGTGATGTCATATCAGTTTATATTAGGGCAGTAAGGTAAGATACCTATATATATATATACTATTACTTATTATTATTGTGGTTGTCGTCGTATGTCTGCTCGCTCTGTTGTGGTGGAGCTATAACGCTTAGCTATTTATGTTGTCATGTGAGACGCCTAGGTTAGAAATTTTGCATTCAGGTTCCTGGATAGTGACATTTACAAAAAATAAACTGCCTAAATTCTGGCAAGTCCTAAGGATTGAACAGTGTGCCTCAGATTTTTCATTCGAGGACGAATGTTTCTAAGGGGGGAGGAATGTAACACCCCAACTTTTTAAAACGTCTAAATTAACTCGTATCTTCGTGGAAAGACAAGAAGGGTGAGTAATAAATTAAGAATGATGTGGTATGTCCTATTTTAAGTGTTCAAGTGTTGCATCTCAAGTTTTGAAGTTAGGTAAGTGGCAAAATAAAAGTTGGCGGAAGTTATCGTAAGTTCCTTCTTAAAGATTTCTCTGAAATTTGGGTCAAATGTCTTGGAGGTTTTCTCCCAATCTATAAAGATTTATGGGTCCCACAAACTATCGAATCGAAGGTCTATGAGTCTAGTTTCCAACACATCAAACCGTTCATTCATACGACTTCAGAATAGAGAGATATTCGCATTTTCGTGGGACTGCGCAAGCAGGCACGTGAAGTGGGGCCCTAGGTCGGTGGAAAGTTGTATATATCTTCTTCTTCGAATTTTTTCTTCATTTTAAGCTAAATATACAGAGAAAACATAGAAACCCATTTTTAGGATCAAGTGAAATATAGATTTTCTCGACGTAAGTCCTTGACAAAAGTTGTTCTACGCGTTGGGCTCAACATCGTGGTATAATTTGTTTTATCGATTGCGTAGCATATCACATTTTAGTGTTGGGACAGCAGGGGTTTGAATATATTTGAAGGTTTTGAGGTGAATTACGAACCTAAGATCGAGGTAAGACCCTTCTTTCATCGACTCTAGCTTTTATAAGCAGCAGATAGCAATTTGCGATGAAAAATACATATCTTTTATTGTATTGTCATGGTATCTTTTATTTTGTGTGTTGATTATGGTCCTACCTTGTTGTAGTATCGAGGGAGTTATGAGTTAAAGTCTTTAGGCCACGTGAATTTAGCGAAAAAGGTATGTTAAGGCTATTCTCTTCCTATGGCATGTTTCCTTAAAGCTTAGGAGCAATGTGATTGAGTTGTTATCGTTGTTATACTTATAGCTATTATTGTTGATTGTTGGCTGCTCGAGTGCGTATAATCCTCTCTTATCGAGATTCTTATTCAGTAGTAACATTCGTATGTTGGACACGACTTAGAGGCTATTTGTATAGGTTGCCTATAACTAAATTGCTCACTTTTAGCTGTTGGATTGTTATTGTTGCCTTTGGGCTATTGTTGTTAGCTGCATAAATGTGATCTATGCCTAGCAGGGTTATGTTCTGCCTACAGGGCTATATGGATGCCTAAAAGGGCTATGAATTGCCTACGGGGCTATATTGATGCCTAGAAGGGCTATGAGTTGCCTACAGGGATATATATTGACGCCTAAGAAGGTTATGTGCTTCCTACAGGGCCATGTTGTTGCCTAAGAGGGCTATGAGTTGTCTATAAGATATGTTGATGCCTAAGAGGGCTATGTGACTGCCTGCGGGGCTAGGGGACTACCGATAGGTGTATACAGGTTGATTGGCACCTTTCGGGCTTATGGGGGCCTGAGTAGGTGGTCTTGTGTGCTGTTTGTACCTACCGAGCTTATGGGGGCTTGGTTAGGTTGTTGTTTTATTATTTTTGATAAATTTAGATTTAGAAGCAGGTCAGTACAATTATCTTATCCTTAATTTATTTATCAGATTATTCGAGTATATCAGGATACCTCATCATAGTCTATTGCCTTTCATACTCTGTACATTATTTTGTACTGACGCCCCATTGCCTTGGGGGCGCTGCATTCATGCATGCAGGTCCTGACAGATAACCGAGTAGACCTCCATATCAGCAGGATTGACTTTTATCCGATTGGTCAGCCCCTTTCTTCCGGAGCTGCCAGAGTTGGGAGGTTTGTTACCTTTTGTTGTATATATTCTCATGGGTAGGCTGGGGCCCTGTCCCACCAATCTTTACTACTCTTAGAAGCTTGCAGACTAGTGTGTGGGGTTTATAGCTACGTTATGGCCATGCTGGCCTATGTTGTTGGTTTGCAGAAGCTTATGAGCTGTTTGATGTATTGTACTGATATTTACCTGTTTTTAGTTTTGGAATAGATATCATAGTGGCCTCGACGGCCCAATCAGGACTTCTGTGCTAGTTGGATATTTCTTTATATGAACTCTTGGGAGTAGCTGGTTCTTTTGTAGATCTGTTGACAGGGGCCTTGCCGACCGAGGACTTAGTTTTAAGCCGAGATATACTTGTTTGTTTTCTTAATTGCATGTGACTGTCATGCGCTAATAGCAAATGGTTCAGCAGGGTCGGCTCGGGCCTGAGTTTTGGCTTTAGGAGTCAGTTGTGCCCCTTGAGTTTGGGGCGCGACAACACGTTAGTGATTTACCCATTTAAATAATGGGTTAAATTACAAGTCTTGTTGTTGTCTGCATCAATTATTTGGGCTTTATTATACATAGCTTCGGCTGCCATAAAGCTCCCCTTTTGTGTATACACCCAGCCCCAATTGCCCTGTAAACAATTCATGTACAATCTAATTTTCATTTCTAGTTGGTAATGTAGTCCCTTTTTATACATGGTATAGTGAATAAGAAAGACATTTTACCTCCATTGCAGCAACAGTACACACAAGTAGTGTCCCATGAAGGAGCTAAAAAGGGGAGAAATTTGAAGAAAAAGGGACCTTGTAAGCTTATACTACGAACCCTTCCCTTTCGATAACACAGAGTGATTTTGCTACACTTGAGGAGGCCTTGGACTTGGTTAATTGCAGGGTGCAGTATTAGTTTTCTCAATTTCTTTGGGCTCATATTTACCCTTGTAACTTTATGTATTAATGTTATCTTTCTAGTTATATATCAATCAATCAGTTGATAACTACAACTTAATAGAAATAAGAAACAAACCCCAAAATCTAGGAGGAAGAGGATGGCATAAAAAGAGAAAAGGATGTACTTACTTGTCGATTTCTCTAGATCTCTTAACAGTGAGCGCGTTGAACAAAAACAAAGGTAAAAGCTTTGAGTCTAGTTCATCCAGCAACAAATCACCATTGAAGCTGATGAGTCACCTCTCTCTCTCTCTAAAGAAGAAGGATTTCCCCAAAAGGGTGATCATTTTGTGAAATATAAAGAGGTTTGGGTGGGAAAACTCAAAAAAATTGGTGCAAATCTAAAAAGTTGTCTAATTTTAGGTTTGTCACCAAAATAAAAAATATTTAATAAAATAATAATACATAATTTTATTATATGCTTCCCTTAATCCTAATCCTAATAGGTTTCTAAATCAAAAACTTTAATTATAACACCTTGTCTTGTCTTTCTTTCTATATTCAAAGCTCTTGCTTGACACTTCTGAAATTAAGTGTTTTTTCATATAAATTTTTAATTTGCATGGAAAATAATATTGAAATGATGCAATTTGATCCTTGTGTTGCTCTGATTTTCTCAAGTCATATTCTTATTTTTCATAATAATGTTATTGATATATATTTATCTACGATCACTACATTTGCATTCTTCAGATGATGTCTTATGAATTGTGGCAACTGAAAGAGCTCGGTAATCCATGTCCAATGGAAAAATCAGCTATCGAAGTAGTGATAGATACTTTTGATGATGAGGAAGGAACTAGGTCCGAGCCAATTAGAATTGAAGGCATAAACAATGATTGTTGTATTTGCTTTAAATAAAATTGAACAAGAGGATACATGTGTGCGACGATACTTAATGCTTACAGTCATAGGTTTCATTCTGCTGGTATTATTCCTTGGTTAGATGAAAACAAAGACAAGATCCATGTGTCGGACTCATGTTAATGTTGTGAAAGGTACTCTGAAGGATGATACTCGTTCCTAAATATTTATCAACTAAAAAACTTGGCCGCGCGAAGCAATTGTGTTTGAATCAATTATTTTTTCTGTCAATTTTATATTCGTTATATTATCTTAGCACTTTTTTTCTCTTTCCTCAAACTTGAGTTTGGTTGCGCATGAAATTGGGCAATTTCTCTTATATGATAGGAGGCGGGGGAGCAGATTTGAGGTATCTAATGGTAATATTTCAACTAAAATGTGATAGACAGTTGGAGTTGGGTTGCATTAATCTCTAAGGTCTTATACAATTTGCTGTCAGATGGTTTTGATCGGGGATCAAACAGTTATACCCTAGTCTTTCTTATTATCGTTACTTGGCTAAGTGACTAAGTGTTACATATTATTTTCATTGTTTAATCTCCAAAGCAAGCAACAATGTGAAGAAAAAATGAATAGTATTCTCTCAGAGCTAGATGTTAATGGGATATCATAATTATTTTATCTGGTGGGGTGCCCTTGGGGCACATGAGTACTCCGATGAAATATATACTCAAATCAGCATACACACAGTATTTGGCAATGGATATATAGGAAAGAAGTGATCCTTGATCCGTGGACTTTCCATCAAACAAATTGAAACAAAGAAAGAAGAACATACTTCCTTTGAACAACATTATCCTCTTTAAAAAAGATGTATCCAACAAAAAATTGAATCGATCAAACTAATAGATTTCAGATAATAGAAAGTTAAACCAACAAAAAAAAAATAGAGTAGAATTCATTTCCAAACTTTGCCACAAGATCTCATCTACATCATAATTTACATAGTCCACAAACTTTTATTTATTTATTTATTTTCACCTAATTTGAATGACTCACATATTTCACACCTATCTATCCAATACCCACATATCACTAAAACAACAATCAACAAGCCAATTGATCTTTGAAAGTAGATATCTCCTCAAATATTGGTAGTCTTCTTGATTTCGGAGGAGCCCATTCATTTATAAGATGTTCAAGCCCATTCATGAAGTCATCATCCAAATTTAAGCCCGGAAGGTTTTGCAAAAATGGTGGTGGTTGTCTCGAATCTAGTTCCACTAGCAATTCTTCCACACGGTTCCTTGTTTTCGGATCTTCAGAACCCGCATAATTACCTCTCCAAACATTTTCAAGAATATTACGAGCTTCATCGTATCGAGCTTGCCTTATTAAACAATGGGTCAAATTACATGCCTTGTTGCTGTCTGCATCAATTATTTGGGCTTTCTTATACACAACTTCCGCTGCCATAAAGTTTCCCTTTTGCGTATAGGCCCAGCCCAAATTTCCCTGTAACAATTGTACAGTTTAAATTTTCGTAGCCCCTAATTATGAAACATTGCAATAATTTATGTATTTACTAAATGATGCGGAATACATTATATTTACACGTAGGGGTGTCAAAAATGAACTCAAACATAGGTAACCCGCCCAACCTGTCCAGAATTTTAAGGGTTGGACTCAAAATAATTTGAATTGGGTTCAATCTCAACTCATTCAAACTTAACCCATTTTAAGAGAATCCTCAATTGAGCCCAATTCAATCTTCAATTTCAACCCATTTTAAATAAATTGCTAAGATATGTTCCTATATTAAAGGTATGAATTATTATCTATGTAACATCTTTTAGGATTTATCTATCCATTTGTTACTTTTTAAAAAAAGATAATCTTGAGTTGAAATCGCATTATGATTATAAAAGTTAAATATCACTATGTTAAAATTATTGAGATTAATCAGGTCAAATTGGGCAGGTCAAGACCCAACCCGTTTTTTAGCCCATTTGAACCCAACCCATTTGAGCCCAAACTAAACTTGGGCGGGTCAAGACCCAACCCGATTTCTATTTCAACCCATTTTAATATCTCTAATTTCAACCCAATCTGCCCATTTGACACCCCTATTTACACATAGTGTATGTATACTATTGTATTTTCATTATGTGACATTTGTATTTTATGTAATACTTATATTTGTGTCATCACTAGAATATATATGGCTATTACGGCTTATTGAGATGAATGCGTATAACTAAAGAAAATGACATATTTTATGTGGTTAACATGTCTAATTGAAACATTTTATTGGGAGTGGAAGTATTCAATATATTGAAACATTATTGGTTCGAGTGTACGTCTAAATGGAAAATTTATATCCTGACAAGATTAAGGGGTTGGTTATGTATTAAGCCAATAACTTAATATTAAATAAGATAATAATAGGTGTGATTAATTACCAGAATTCTTGCCGTCTCTTGCCTAACAGAAACTTGAAACTTCTTGCCATGTGAACGAGCGGTTTTTGAAGGTTTACCATTGAAAACCTGCCCTTGGTATATTTGTCTGAACTTTTGTTTCAACAATGCTATTTGTTCATCTACTTTTCCACATTTCTACATACATGTAAAATACAATTATTTATTAGTCCATATATAGTGGGAGCAGTATATATATATAAATCAAATAAAAAATCTAGAAGAAAATCTAGAAATAACAGAAAACAAATCATTAGAATCAGAGAAAGATTTTTAAAAAAGTGAATGAACTAGATGAACTAATTTATGCAATGGAAGATCTTAATCTTTCAGAACAAGAATTAAAAGTATTTATGAATAAAGGGGAAACAGGAGGACCCCAAGGAAAATTCGAAAAATTTGGATCCAAATCCATTAAAGAAGAATGGCAAGAATATGAAAGGGATGATAATTTTTTTGCAAATAAAGCAAAAAAGAACAAAGACTTTATAAAACAATATCATAATGATAATAAATTCAGGTTCATGCCTAATAGACTCTAACAGGAGATATTGGAACCCAATTCCTAGATCTAGATTGTAAAAGAGATCCAGAAACAAGCCTAGATTTATGGTCTCAAAACATACTTCTATATTTCTTGCTAGGAAAGGAGTAAATTATATAGATGAAGAAAAATATATCATCATGATAAATACTTTTATAGGAAAAGTAAATGACTGGTTCTCTGGATTAACAGAAGATGCAGAAAAGATAGTAAAAAATGATAGCTTAGAAGGATTAAAAAATTCTTTACAAGAAGGTATAACAAATCTAAAGCAATAAATAGCAAATGAATTCTTTGGTGGACAAGGAAGCCCTATCAACAATAGGGAAAAAGCAAGAACAATTGCTAAAGAGCAATTAGAAAAATTACAAATCTGTAAAATGAGTTATATTCAAAAATACACTTGTGAATTCGAAAAATATTACTATAAGATATTTGATAGTGGTAAAGAAATGATACCATATCTTGAAAAATATTATATAAAAATTACCAAGCTTTTGGGCAAAATACTTCAGAGAAGAATATGAAAAAGAAAATAAGAAAGGAGACACTCTTGGTCAGAGAATAAGCTTCCTAAAAAATAGACTAAGTCAATTATGTATGTCACATAATATACAAAGAAAGGACAAAAGAATCAATACACAAATTTATTGTTTAGACACAAATACAGCCACCCAATGGGGATGTAACGAAGACAAACCCTATAAAAGGAGAAAACTCAGAAAGGGTTTAATCAAAAGGAAAAAAAATTCTAAACAGAATTATGTACCCAGAAGAAGATAATATAAAAAGAAAAAGGATTTTAAAAGAACAAAATCTGCAGAAAAATGCAAGTGTTACAATTGTGGTGAAGAAGGCCATAAAAGTTACGAATGTAACAAAATAAGAGTAAAAATATCAAAAATTGACAGAATAGAAATCGATTATGATCTAGAGTCAATAAAATCAATAGGAAGTGAAGACTTCTTTGAAGAATTATATGAAGAATATTCTACAGATTCAAATGAATCAGAATGAATAAAGAAATACAAAAGGAAGAAGACAATTCAGTTCATATATTAGAAACTGAAGAAGATCAAAGGGGTTATGCCCTAAAGGCAACTTTTGATGGAGAAATATTTAGAAAAATCCAAGGATTAAAACTAAATCTTAAAACGGAAGATAATTTATTAAATAGAATGCAAAGAATTTTTGCAAGAAATAAAATATCTTATCGTGAATATCAAGAAATAGAGAAAGTGATAGAAATTACCCAAACTACAGGAAAACATAAATTAAACCTGTTAACTAAGTCAATGATCGATCAAATACTTAGAAAAATTCCTAAAAAGAAAAGGAAAAAATGAACTATGTCCATTTAGGTGGCATTCAAATACTAGTCAAATCAACTTTTAAAGAAGGAATCAATTGTCCTATAGTCATTAATCTCTCAGATGAAAGATTCATGAATGCAAGAGAAGGAAATCTTGGTATAATTGAGGGAAACCTAGCTTACACCAAGCTTCTATTTACCTATTACCCAAAATACTGTATTTCACTAAAAGATGCGGATTTTAATGACGCATTAAGTTTACATTTCCAAATTAAAAGAAAAGATCTTTTTAAACCAGGTAGCCATATAATGAGTATTTATTATCAGGCATTATATATAGTTACAAATTTCAATTATGGAAAAATATGCAAAAATAAAGGAATGATCGAAATTGATCAAGAATGTTCAGGAATAGCAAGAATTGTTGAAGCAGAAATTCAACATGCTCAAATTCCAGAAGAATATGAAATTCAGTTTGGAAAAACACAAGAAATAGAAAGTCCTAGCAGCAGAAATTCTAGACTTTCAATAGATTATGGAAGAAATTCCATCAGAAAAAGTGTATATCTGATAAATATCCTAAAAGAATACTAGAAAATCCTAATATCACTAGAATCATGGGAAGAATCTATAATGGAACAGAATGGAAATCTCAAGAAATACTAATCCAAACAGGAGCTACAGCTAACCATATAAAAGGAATTCTAATAGAAAGATTACAAATTTACGAAGGAAATCCTTATAATTATAAAACCTTTGAGGGTAACAATTTTTGTTGTAAGAAGATGATAGACTTACCAATACAACTAGACACAATAAGAATAACAGTTCCATGTTATATTACAAATCACGAAAGTGATCAAAATCTTATCTTAGGAAATCTTTTCCTGAATAGTCTGGAAGACTATAGTATAGGAAAAAATGGTATAGAAATGATTTATAAAAATGAAACTTGTTTTATACCAAAAAAATAAATGCCAAAAGAGACTTCTTTTAAAGTATCAGTTTTCATAGAAATCACTTTCTATGATACTAAAATAACAACATGTTGTCAAATAGACAATGGATCTGAAGCAAGTTTAGCTAAACCTTTTGTTATAAAAGGATGGGATATAAATAAGAATAGTATATCAATGATTGGTATTACAAGAGACAAAGAAAAACTTTCTCAGTCTAAAGAAAAGGTAGAAATAATTTTAGGTTCAAAAATTGTTTCTATAAATAAATTATTTGCCTATGATAAACTGGAAACATATTTATTATTGGGAAATGATTTTTTACAACAATTTCAGGATTATCATCAAACATTGTATATGATAAGCCTTAAAACTCCTTGTGGACATTTTATTAAAGTCCCAAGAAAACAAAATCCTTATATTATTGAAAAGGAAAACAAAAGAAGATACTTAGAAAACCTAAGAAGAATCTCTTCCAAATGCCTTAACTTAGAAAAAATTAAAGAAAACTTGCAAAAATCATATGGAGAAAACCCCTTAGAAAGGTGGGAACAAAATCATGAAAGAGCAATTTTAACACTAAAAGATCCTAGTATAGTCATTAGGGTAAAACCTATGCTCTACAATGAAGACGATAAAATTGAATTTAAAATTCAAATTAAAGAATTACTTAATTTAAAATTAATAAGAATAAGTAAAAGCCCTCACAGTAGACCAACATTCATGGTAAGATACCATGCTGAAATAAAAAGAGGAAAAGCTCGTATGGTTATAAACTACAAAGAGCTTAATAAAAATTGCATATTTGATGGATATTTTATCCCAAATAAAAATAATTTAATAAACCTAACAAAAGGAAAAACTTATTTTTCAAAAGTCGACTGTAAAAGTGGATTTTGGCAAATAAAATTGGCAGAAGACTCTATTCCATTAACAACTTTTAGCACTACGAATGGATTGTCATGCCCTTTGGGCTAAAAAATGCCCAACAAATATTTCAAAGAAAAATGGATAAAATATTTTCTGAAAAAGAATTTCTAATAGTCTATATAGACGATATATTAATATGTTCAAAAACTTATGAAGAACATCTAAAGCATCTAAAAATGTTTTCAGAAAGATTTTAGAAAATGGAATCGTCTTAAGCCAATAAAAGGCAGACATAAATAAAAATGAAATAGAATTCTTAGAAATGATTATTTCAAAAAATGAAATTGAACTTCAATCACACATTTCAAAAAAGATAATAAACTTTCTTTGTATATTATGTGACATAATTGACTTAATCTATTTTTTAGGAAGCTTATTCTCTGACCAAGAGTGTCTCCTTTCTTATTTTCTTTTTCATATTCTTCTCTGAAGTATTTTGCCCAAAAACCTAGTAATTTTTTATAATATTTTTCAAGATATGATATCATTTCTTTACTACTGTCAAATATCTTATAGTAATATTCTTCGAATTCACGAGTGTATTCTTGAATATAACTCATTTTACAGATTTGTAATTTTTCTAATTGCTCTTTAGCAATTGTTCTTGCTTTTTCCCTATTGTTGATAGAGCTTCCTTGTCCACCAAAGAATTCATTTGCTATATATTGCTTTAGATTTGTTATACCTTCTTGTAAAGAATTTTTTAATCCTTCTAAGCTATCACTTTTTACTATCCATCATATTAATAGAGCACTTCCTGAAATGGAAAAAACATACTTAAGTACTTGCTTAAGATCTAGATTATAGCTATTCATGAAATGAAGTTGCTTAAAATAAATGAGTATTTTGCATATAAAGATGCTCAAAGAATTCTAAAAAAATGTGTGCTTTTTACAGCATAAATTTCGCAACCCTGATAATAATCAGATGTATTCATATCATTTATAATTACTTCAGGGTAATTAATGCATGAACCTTTTTTGTAGTATAATACATATTGAGAAGTATATAAATATGCTTTCTCTAATAGTTTAAACTTTTAGATGAGATGGTCACACACTTCAACATGATATCTGAGCACTTAAACTTTTAGATGTGGTCATCGTACATGTATTTAGGTTAAAAAATATGATGTTACAATGTAAGTGAAACAGTTTATGTACCATCCAAAGTTGCACCATGTTAGTGAAACATTAAATTCCCCTTTTCCTATGTAATTTCCTTTTCTTGGTTTTTATTGTCCAATTCCAATATCCAAAATTCTGCCCCAACTAATATCTTGGATTTTCATAGAGTATAGAATAAAAGTGATCTTCACTATAAAAAAATATATATTCCATTTTCAAGACTTTAATTAACTCACCGTACCACATTATTTGGTGGTTTCTCCCTATATAATGATGACCAAAAAATGAAACATTATGAATAAATAGTGTTTAGTATATTTATGAGCTCGTTATTGAAATTGAATGAGACTCGCCGTCCTGAAAAATACTATACCAAATCAGATTTGTCATCCTTCTTGATTTTATCTCATGTCGATATGCAATGTTAGAGCCACATATTGATTGAAGATTATCTTTTTAATTCTATGAATTTGAACAATTATTACCTTATAATGTATGCAAGGCTGGAGCTAAGTTTTTGTCGTTTATGAGTTCAGTTGAATTTAGCAGTTGTGATTTTAAACTCTCTCTCTATAAATATATATCTTGAAAATCTATTGAATATGTACGATTATTAATTTAAAACCAAATAATTTTAAAATAGTAAAATTCAAACTTTAAATTCTGAAAACTTATCAGGTTGATTAGGCTAAAAAAAATGAAGAGGAATAGTAATTGATATATACCTTGAAGAGGTCAAGAAGGACATTATCAAGGGATTCCTGTGCCTGTTTGGAGCAGAGACATCTAAAAGAATTAATAGCTTCAATAGCCTCTTCACTTCTATCAAGTTGTTTCATGACTATTGCCATATCTTTAAGGGCACTATCCACTCTATCTCCTCCATTTATTGCCTTCCAAAACCATACTATGGCTGCTTCTGGCTCCTTCTGAACTATCTGAAATACATGCATGTCCATATGTTTGAATCGATTTTTACTCAGCATATAAATTCGTAACCAATATGCTATTGTATTTAACTTTCAATTAATCACGAAAGCGGTGCAAAAGAAGTTGATCTAATGATATAAGATTTAGAGTGGATGAATTAATTTGAAATGAGTGAATTTGGGAAATTAAAAGTGAATTTACCTGAGCATATTTGGCTCTAACATAAGGTCCATCACCTGAAGGAACCTTATGAACAACATGAAACAATACTTCCTTCTTCATTATTCTCTCTTTATAAATGCAAATCTTTCTACTTATAAAAGTTGCTATTATCATGTACTCTAATATATAAGATGAATATTGAAATTTGAAGAGAAGATTCAGTTGAATATGAAGAGAGACAAATTCATGAATAATTGGTTGAACCTGGACGAATATCCGTCTCTATTACATAACTGTTCTGGTACAAACATACATGCCCCACCTGCTTTTATTTTCCTTATCTACTAATTCCTTTCATTTATTTATATATATATATATATATATATATATATATATATATATATATACCATAGTGCTTGTAAGGGTGTCCTATTGAAAAATTCAAGGTTTATTAAGTACGCAATCGCAATGGTTTTCTTATAAAAAAAATAACAAGAGAAACATTTAATAAAAACTTATGGCATCTAGTGTTTACCTCAAGGTCAAATGTACATTTGTACTGATAGTTTAAATATACTTCTTGTTATATTTTCGGGCTAAATATACCTCTTCTATTATATTTTGACACGGATTTGACCTTTAGAACTAACAGAGGGATACATGGACAGCCAAGATCGAAAGAACTCATCCAATTTAAACTATATCAAGGTCTCATGTTGTAGACTAACCCAAACACAGCTCCTCAATCAAGTCTTTGTCATGGACTTGGGGTTGCTTATGCAGGTATTTGTAATATGAGTATTAATTATGTATGATTTAGTTAAATATGTACGAAGTATTTGATGGGTTCTTTTAATCCTGGCCATCCACATGTCCATCTGTTAGTTATAAGGGCAAAGTAGTGTCAAAGTATAACGGAAAGGATATATTTGACCCAAAAATATAACGTTAGTATATTTAAATTTAAATTATTTCGAGTAGTAGATAGATATATTTAGCCGGCCTTTTTCATAAATTGAATGTCTTAATCTATTAATATGGTATAAACACTAGATGAGTGTGAAAAAGTATTTTCCTTAATCCCATTTCACGGCATCTCCAAATTCCAAACAAGTTGCCTTAGAATTGGAATGTCATTTACTAATAAACAGATATTCAATAGGAACCAATATAAGACGTCAACGGGGATATAATATATACTCATTGGTTACTTATTCATTAAATTAGTTTATGAAAAGCTAAAAATATAATATCTTGTTCATTTCCACATGTCAGCAGCTTTTCATCTTTTTAACCAAATTGTCCCTTCAAGGAGTTATGAACCTGGTCATGTTATGCAAGATAATTAACTTGACCAAAACATGGAATGGGAGTTTTGGCATTTTATCCAGTCTATCTTCTAAACTAATGTAGAGTGGGGCAGATTAAAAAAATTGCGGGTTAAGCTCAATCCACCCCGCCCCACCTCACCCCATCCCTACACCAGTAGGGTACCAAAGGTAAAAAAAAAAAAAAAAATCAAAATCTCAGAAAAAGACGAGGGAAAAAAAATTAAGATATACATATACAGCAACGATAATATGCAACGACTGAGAAATTGGCTACTTGACTTTGGCTTCATTAAAAGCAAATAGAGGATATAAGCTTTTCCACATTCCACGATGCTGAAAAACAACAAAATCACTGCATATGAAACAACAACCCGCAATTTCATGCTTTTCTTTCTTTAGACCTACTTTGGACAGAAAAACCACTAAGCCAAGGCATCTGTGCAAAAACACAATGTGCCAATCCCTTACTAAGCCTGGTTGCCACCACCTCGAGGATGAAGGTCCATGCGTCCGCGTCCGCGTCCACGTCCACGTTCACGTCCATAACCTCTGCCGCCTCCATATCCAGAGCCTGTGTTTATGTCTATAAAACAAGGTTCAACAGAAATACAATAGAAAAATTCTGAGGAATATCATAGTTTTAAAAGAATACAAGAAAGTATCTGTGCAGGCAGTACAAAATGCAAACTCAAGGAAGTATACTTACCACGATATTCCCATCCACCGCGGCCCCCACCTCGGCCCCAGTTTGAGTAACCAACATTTCCTCGGCCCCTGTTTGAGTAACCACCATTTTCTCCGCCCCAGTTTGAGTAACCACCATTTCCTCGACCCCTGTTTGAGTAACCACCATTTTCTCCGCCCCGGTTTGAGTAACCACCATTTTCTTCTCCCCAGTTTGAGTAACCACCATTTCCTCGGCCCCGGTTTGAGTAACCACCATTTCCTCGGCCCCGGTTTGAGTAACCACCATTTCCTCGTCCCCAGTTTGAGTAACCACCATTTTCTCGACCCCGGTTTGAGTAACCACCATTTTCTCGACCCCAGTTTGAGTAACCACCATTTTCTATTAAAACAAAATTACCACATTTACATCATCGATACATTAATGAGCACATTACTTCACTGAGATCTTAAGTAACAGAAGCATACCTTGATAGTTTCCATATCCACCTCTGCTCCAACCACGTCCCCTCCCTATACCACGACCTCGTCCTCGCCCATATGAATCTAAAATGAAGTTGTAGTGTATTCAAGACGTTACACAAATTTCCACGTAAGTCGAGTTCAATTCTGCAAATCATTTTGTTTAGTGATTTTGCCTGGTGCCTCATTACCTTCATTACCAGCATAATAGACTGCACGTGTTTGTCTTGGAGATTGTTGCTGCAGCTGGGGCTGGTAATTATTATACCGTGGCTTCATCTGTTCAACCTCAGAAGGAGCTTGATACCTATAAAAATGAAGTTGCATTTTGGGCCATGAAGAGTAAGATAATCAGTTAAGACCACATACTTTCAGTGAGAAAACACTAAAAAAATACAGTAACTACCATCAGAAAAACAATTCAAATAACGATCATTGAATAGTTAACAAGCTGCCATGTCAAACAACAGGAGCAGCATACATAGAGAAGCAGACGAAGGCAGAGAGTTACCCGGCGGAATTTTTGTTCAGCTCTTGTGTTGACAACGTGATTGAAATCACTGAAACATGGCGGGTCTGCTCCACACTATATTGCAAAGAAAACCAATTTCCAGAAATTAGTACCACATGAATGCTAGTCATGCTTAGGGATATACACAGTGCAAGAAGAAAACATTATGAGAGTAAATCAGGGGTGAAACTTACGGCAAAAGACCCTCTTCAATAGGCTCCCATACATCTGTTATGCTTACTGAGCTGATAGCAGTGTCTTGATGAAGTATAGGCATTCTTCTCTGCAAAAGATTAAGATCATTGAGTAGGAGAAAGAATAGAAGAAGTAGAGGAAGAAAGTCATCTAGACCAGAGAAAGCTACCTTGATGATCTCTGCTATAGCAACTGCTTTGCTAATTGCCTGACCCATTGCTTTCAAGACAATCTCTTTCCCATGCCTCTCCTGAACAGACAATTATGATTAGAACTTTGTATTTGCAACTAACAGAAAAGGGCTGGTTTTATCATTGCAAAGGTTCAATTATCGAAGAAAATCATCCCACCAAAGACAGAGGGAGAAAGAAAATTTGATCTACATATAACCACTCCTTAAATCCTGTACTTGTTTAGACTAGTACAGATGAGCTAACAAATTATATTAATGGTGAAATTCCATAAAGGGTGTTATATGAATGATATGTCTAAATTTCAGAAACTAACAATGTCATATAAGAGTAAATATTGAGCCTTAGAAGCACCACATATCCACAAGATGAGTGCTGCAAAGATATGGATGTTAAAACTGCCGTGTGGACACGCAAAATCATACGAGATGAGAACACCATCTAAAATGGTTTGTGATGTTCTAATTAGACCCCCAAATACACATATGCCTAGATGTGACACTATGATGATTAAAAGAGTTAAAAGAGGTTATGGAGAAACGTCTAGAAAAATCTAGTATCTCTCACAATTCCATGCTTATTTAGCTAAGAACATGACATAATGGACATGAGAATATATATAGGTGATATCATGAGGTTAAGGTTATGATATTGGTGTTATACTTGCATTAGATCCGAAGTTGACTGGGAGTCTTTTCATGGTCGACTTTTATGTTAATGTAGGGATAAGTGTAAAACTCATAAAGACTTTGATTTAGAAAGTTCATTTTTCTTAAAAGAAAAACTACTAAATATTGGAATGAAAGAAATGAATATAGGGAAATTCATATAGCCACTACAACTAATCTAGAATTCAAGTGTAGTTAATTGATTGATTGATTACAACCACTCATGTTAGTACTTGCCACAGTCATATTTTAGGCATGTGAAAGACTGATAGTGAAGTTGAAAGTTAAATTTTATCAGACAATAAGGTTTGTGAGTTTCTTGAGCCGATGTCTATTGGAAACAACATCTCTACCCCACAAAGGTAGGGGTAAGGTTTGCGTACACCCCACCCTACCCGGACCCCACTTATGGGACTACATTGGGTGTATTGTTGTTGTTGAAAATAGGGTTTGTGAGACCAGCAAACTTCTGTCAAACAGTTTATTGCAGCTTGATTCAAGAGACGTATTTTGAATTAGCAGAAAACTTTAAACCTCCTAACTTTGGGTTACTTGATGCAACACATTAAGAAGCAGTCCAACACAGGATATACTGGGAAATTCTCAAAGGTTTAGAATAAACCAGCAGTATTCTAATCTGCATCTTAAAAAATATCCAGCAATAAAAGAAACTTCATTTCCTTTTCCTCTACCTCTTCATTTTTTATTTGCTGCACCGTAGGATATTAACATCCAGTTGACCTTGATATGCATCAAATTAGACGAGTAGACTGCTAGTAACGCAAAAGTTACCCTCGTATTTCACATTGCAAAGCAGAGTCACATTTGTCACATATGTCAAAACATCCACTTAATCATTTTATGGCCATGAGAAATTCACTCATAGATGTTTCACATGGTGCAAATCGACTTGTACATAAATGTACACAAGCAGCCACTATAAAACTTGCAGAGCTTTTCACTTCTCCATGCTATGTCACCCTCAATCACATTATTTTTTTTTCTTTTATCGAATGTTAATTTTGTCCAGAATGTACTTCCATAAAGTCTGAAATCTATAACAAATCCTATTGAATTAAGGTTAAAATTGAAAGGTAAAT